TGCATTGCCGACATGCTGGTAGGTATCTACCAGGCCTCGCGTAACCCCGAACTCCTTCACTTCTCGTCGGTATCATAAGCCCGGCCCCAATGCAGCCCTATGGTAGCCCTTGTAGCTCCTAGCAACTCTGGTAAAGACCAGTCATCATCATCTCACTGGTAAAGACCAGTCATCATCATCTCACTGGCGAAGCCGCAGTCATCTATTCACGCAAGGAAGGCTATGTCGGATACGGCTTTCTGCATAGACACATCGTCTAGATCAAGGGCTCGCATATGACACAGCCCCAGGTGGCTCGCACGCGGCCACAGGGCTGTTGCCACTGCATCTTCACAGCCTTCATCTTCTGGGCCTTATTCTTAGCTATATGTCGACCTGCCAAGCCTCCAATGCCCGTAAGCACGCCCAAATCGTCCGACAAAGCAGCCTAAAATTCTGACTGCAAGTTCTCTCCACAAAACTGAAGTCGGTCATCGTTTCAGATGGCGGATGTAGTCGTCCAGAGTTGTCGCAGTGGATTGGTAGACAATGTCATATCTTGCAAGGGTCATCTACATCCTGGCGTTCGTTCATCGTTACAACCCAGTTCTACGCCCGGGTAGCACCGACGCCTCCGAATCATCCGAACTGAAGATCCAAGATGACGCATGTTTAGGATCGGCGTCGATCCTCATCGCATGAAGTGCTGGGATATCCGGGGAAGTGAGCGATGTCGCAGGGATGTTACATTGGGGAAAGTATATCGTCCTTCCCGTCGTCTTTATTTGGCATTGCCTTACGGCACCAGCTCGTATTCCTGAACTCCGCCTTCCCTAATTATTCCACTTCCCTGGTCTGGCAAATCATTCGATCTGCTATTCCTAATGAACATTATGAGCACCGTGCATTATGAGCACGATATTTAGTCGCAAGAAAACATCCCACTATGTAGGGAGCATCACCGGTATCGAGTGCGGCCTGCAATGCCCGTCGACATGGACTTCTCGTATTCACGCAACAACACGAGCTCTCCACCGCACCATTTCTACGATTGGAGAGTCAAGAATCTCCGGCTCGCCGTCGCATCGACTCGATGCTGAAGGTTTGAGACCTGCATCTCACCCTCACGTGCCCAGTGAGATGTCATAAATATTGGTCCCGAAATAGCAAACAACCATTGAGATGCCTTCTATTCGACTCTCGGCGGCACCGGAAAGTACATTTAAAGATCCCTGTCTCATGACGTCGGTTCAAGATAGTCTACACTCGGCTGTAGGCGGGAGATCGTGAATCCAATCGACGTTAAGTAAAGTCATGGAACGCCTAAAGCTGTGGCAGGGTGTCTACGACCCGGCAGGAAGTGAGACAGATACGAAGAGCCGAAGACCGCATGATAACCTCGACAAAATATAGTATATATGGCCTTCAGTACAAGGAGCGAAAGGAAAAGGTATAAAGCAGGCCTTCTCCCTCGACATTCAAGGACTATTCCAGCAACACAACAGCATTCCATCCCAACTTGTCTCCTGACCATCATCATCAATTAACTATCTAATTTTCCCCTTCAATCAACCACCTCCTCCTCACCTCAATATGAAGTCGATCAGTGCCGTCCTCATTGCCCTCCTGGCTACCTCCGTCTCTGCGGGCCCTATCATCCCCGCTGTGACCATCGCCCTGGCCAACGACCAGACTGGTGCACAGGGCAGCGCCGCCGTCCCCGCCGACGGCAGTGTGCAGAGCATCTCGGCTCTGTACGGAAACACCGGAGTCGGCTCTGGTGGTGTGGTCAAGGCCTCGTCGGCGCAATTGACCAACTTCCAGGCGAACACCAACTGCGTGATCACGAACTACGGATCGGTTCTGGCTACCCTGAACTCCCGGAACACCTATGTGGACCTGGATGGAAACCCGAGTGCGGCGCAGCCAGTGGACCTGAGTGCTGCCACTGTCAAGTGCACTGTCTAGACGCTATCGTTACAGTGGCATGCCGCTTAGGATATATGGTGAGAGGGCTAGACTTTCGGTCATATTGATCAGAGGGTGTCAATGAGGTTGCGTATAGGGGGGTGATAATGAAGGATTTCGGGTTACTCATGTCGATACACATACAATAAAGAGAATCTTCTCCCATAGCATGACATGTAGGGCTCATACCTGTTCCCGTAGAGATCATCACAATGCAGTAGATGCCACGCATCTGTTTGCCAAGCACCAGTCAATAGCAGAATATATTAGAGTTGTTCTTGACAAATGACAGCCGGCCCACAATAAAACCTTATCTAGCGGCCAAACCCATCCGAGGGCCATAGCTTGCCTGTCTGGCTCCGGATCCGAATCCCCGGACATCTCCTCGTTGCTCAACCGAGGGTGAACCTGTCTTCACAAGTGTCTGTGCGTATCCCAGACTCCGTCGCAGAAGGTCAACCATAATGCATCAAATAGCTCTATAGATTGTAATGACTCCCGGAGAGAATAGTATCAAGTTACTAGTCGATAAACAGTCAGCATCAAACAAACAATCTGACTCACCCCATAAATACATAGATGACTACTCCATCGGCTTACATTTCCAGACCAGAATATCTCACACGCGACCAACGGCTCATCAAGTGGATGAACTGCTGCCAAAGGCATCTTCCAATTCGTCACTACAAACCAACACGACGATCTCCCGTGGGCCTTGAGAATCCTTGCTTTGTTCGTAGCTCTGCAGCTCCGCAACGGACGGCTCCAGACCCTTGCAGGTGCCGCTCTCAACCACGGATCCAACGATGAACATATCAGAACCTTATCTGCGGTTGATTGAGGGTTAGGTCTATACAGCCCCGGAGATGTTTTCTCCTGCATCCACATCTGGTTCGGATATAGGACTTCAACTCCAGCAGTTGAGCTACACACATTCAAGTCGAGTCTTTGTTATACTCACCCCCATAGCATAGCCCTCACATCAACCCTATACTTTATATATCAAGGTCTACATGGCACCCAACCCTCCATCCCCAAACCAAACAATGACCCAATTACCATCACCATGAACATCACCACCACCACAACAGAACCCTCCACCTCCACCCTCCCCCAACCCGACATCTACACAGCAATATCCCTCCTCTCCATCTCCACCTTCACCTGTCTCCTCCTATACTACCTCATCTTCGACCTCTCCTTCTTCCCCCCAAACCCTCTAAAAGCATCAACCACAACCATCCTAACAACAATAACAACAACAACAACCCTCCTCTCCATCACCTTCACCACCCTCCTCCTCTTCAACCTCCCCCCCAACAACCCCGCCGTCCGAATAACCTCCGCCATCCTCCTCGTCCTAACCACCACCACCTCCAGCATATCCAACACCCTCCTGCTCTACTTCTCCCTGCCCCTAATAACAATCCACCAGAAACCCTCCGCCTACTTCCACCTGAAAATCCAACGTTTCCTCCTCTACGGCATAATCGCCTCCATCCTCCTCTTCCAACTCCCCCACGTCATCGTCGCCCCCGCTGCAGCCACACTCTACAAGGATGGTCACTGGTCACACGCAGTTACCATCCTCGAGCGCATCTCAGTGACGGCGTACTGCGGGAGGGAGATACTTCTCCTGGGGTGTTATGCTTGGGGTGTGGTGAGGTTTCTTCGGCCGGTTGTACACTACCACTACAAGTACTACCAATCCCATACAGGATATGGACATGGAAACGGGAGACAGTTACTGTATACCCTCCTAATGGCCGGCTGCGTCTCGCTCATCCTCAACATAGCCAACATCGTGGCCGTGTATGTGGTTCATACCGCCGCGGCGATGGCTTTCTTCCCCTTTGTGGTTAGTACGAAGGTCCTGGTTGAGGGTGTGGCGGTGGGGAGGCTTGTGGGGTTTGTTGGTGGGAAGAGTTCTTCTCTTCAGTACTGCTATCATCAGCAGAATAGTATGTATTCGGTTACTGGGTGTGGAAGTGGGAGTCAGTCGAGGAGGGGGAGTATGCAGCCGCTTATTATGCAGAGAGGGTCTGCTGCGATGATGTCTGGGGGGGTGGGGAGTAGCGTTGGGGTTGGTGAGGGTAAGGATGGTGGTGGTGGTAGTGAGGGGGAAGGAAGTCCCGGGGGTACTTGGGTGAGGGAAAAGGAGTGGTGGTATAGGAGCAGGATGGGATCTGTTGATACGGTGGTGTCTGTGGCGGAGCCGCCGGTGGCTCATTCGGCGGAGCATTTGGTGCAGGAGGTGGTGGATTTAGAGGGTGGTGCTGGTGTTGGTGTTAGTCGGCGGACGTCGGTTGTATAAATGGTGGGATTGTTGGTGGGTATGATTATCTTTAAGGATGTTGTATCGTGATTGTATTATATCGTGGGCTGTGACTAGATATATCATGATTTATCAAGTGAATTGGATGAAACGTTGAAGTGCTTCCCTCATGTACTCGCATACATTCTACAATCTACATTCTACATACTAATACTTTCCACTGAGGTGAGAGTTATACCACGCATGGCTGTGTTGACCATTCATCATAATATCACAGGTGATATATAGTATACAAAAGGGATAGACACCAGCAAATTCTCGCTAAAGCTTTCAAGAGTAGAACGAAGACTGAAAATCATGGTAGAAAAGGAATAAATAATCCAAACTGCTATATGGCTGTACGTGTGCTCATAGACCATTAGACATAACATAATGCATAAACCGACCAACCAACCAAGCCATGATAGATGAAGGACTCAGATCCCATGAGTTCAAAACACAAAGATATGAGCCTAGACAAATCAACTAATGGGGTATACATGGACAAAAAAATGTAGAATTTTCACAAGACGAGGCTCCAATCAGGTCGAACACACGTAGAATGCCGATCATTCATATTTTTTCGTCATGTCGCGGTCGTCACTTTTGTGTGCTGTTGTAAAGTAGATGTGAATAATCATGCGCTCAAATGCATGACGAGAAATGTATAACGTATTCCGTGTGGACATGCGCTATTTTGAGAATAGAGAGATGGTGATGATGAGGCAAATTGGTGGTGCTACTGCTTCTCGGGAATAGGCGTGAACCAGCCGCCTTGTTCCCAGTCGCAGCCCGGATGATACGTAGCAGCGTTTCTTGTATCTCCCGTTTGAAGGCCTTCAAAAAGCACGTTGAGTCGGTTGAAGTTGATGGGTTTCATGACCCAGCCATCGAAGCCTGCATCAACATATAGGGACATGTCCTTCTCTAGAAGAGAGGCTGAAACTGCAAATATGGGGATTCGATTGTTCAGCTTTGCGACCGACGAGAGCTCTATCGAATCGGACGACGTTTCGAACTCGCGGATCATTTCCGTCGATTTGATACCATCCACAATCGGCATCTATCTTGCATTAGCATGTCTATACTAACAAATACATAAGGAAGGCCTACCTGGATATCCATCAAGACGACATCATATTGCGCAGAATCGGCTCGGTATGCAGCTGCGCATTCTTCACCGTTTACTGTCAGTTGGACGGTGTGGCCTAGCTTCCCGAGCCTCTTCTGTACAATCTTGCCATTGATAGGGTCGTCTTCGGCCACCAGAACGCGGTACTTGCCAGACGGGGCTTTAGTGTCCGAGCCTGCAGGAGCACTCGTTGGAGCGGGTCCTGCAGGGCCTGCAATAGTGCTTGCCGGTTTGTCGGATATGGACAGATTCTGCACGTTCTGCTGCAAAGCACGTGTGACGTCATCCAATCTTTCAGGGGTGGAAGGCAGCGTAACGAGTTTCCGGCGATCTGAAGAGGGAAGCAGACCAGCAGCTTCGTCTTTTGTACGATCAATAGATTCCTCAACTACCAGTTTGTCGTCCAGCTCGTCTGCAGACGGGCTATTCGCGCCACGATAGCTACCACTGCGTCGCCATCCATCACTTGGTGCAGACGAGCTGCTGTCGACCAAGATAAACTCTTCCTTGGCCTCAAAAGGGATGGCGCCATCGTCCTGCGTCGACGTTTGTGGGGTTTCGGGTTGGTCAAAATCCGTATCCTCTGGTGTAGCAAATTGTAGCGAAATCTGGAAGCGGCTACCCTTGCCCTCCTCCGATCGCACGGTGAGCTGACCGTGGGTATTCCGTACAATGCGAGACACCAAAGCGAGCCCCAACCCGAGGACACCTTTCTGGCGTTCACTCTCAGTATGCTGCGAATTATTGTTAGGATCTCGGTCGAAAAAGTAGCTGTCGTCCTCCGAGGAGACCTGCTCCAATTCCTGGAACATCGTCTCCAGTATAGCGGACGACATTCCGGTCCCCGTATCAAGCACCGTCATGTGTATGGTTGCAAACCCAGGCTCTGGATTGCCAGGGGCTCGCCACATTTCGACAGTGACGCCACCCGTAGATGTATGCTGGATGGCATTTGAGATCAGATTTGAGATTGCCTGCCGAACACGCCGTTCATCACCCATAACGGTCTTCGGGAGCCCGGGGTGGGCGTGAACCGTATACTCTATTCCTTTCCGGTGCGCCTCGCCGGAAAACATGCCGGTCGCTTCCTTGAAACATAACGGAAGATCGAAGGGTTCATCTTTGATCAAATTGTGTCCCTTTTCGGTGTTGGTCAGGTCCAATAGGTCGTTGATGACGTAGATCAATGATTTCGAGGCGGAGTATGATTTGGTAAGGTTGTCGCGAGTCTCCGTGTCCAAGGCACCTTCGAGAGCAATTTCTAGATAATTGACAATGGCATTCAGCGGGGTTCGGACTTCGTGGGCTGAATTAGCCAGAAGCAGCTTCGTCAACTGCGAACCTTCCAACGCAGCCTCCTGTTGTCTCCATACTTTGATAAATTTGCCATAGACCAGGCATAAAACGGCTGCAGTCTCTACTTCCGATTCGCTCCATTCACGAGCCCGGTCCATGACAGTCTCAGTCCAGACCTGGAAACTCGCGCGAGGTTCGAGGTGACCATTTTGCAGGAGTTTAGTATAAGGATTACCACCCCATTTGATCTGCGTCAGCTCGCCCTTGCGGAAGAAGACGATAAAGTCCTTGCCATCGGCCGACAAAGGCACGTACAACATGCCCGAGATCTCCTTGAAGCCCGGCGGGTAACGCAAGTCTGGAAAGTCCTTCTTCACATGATGCGATGCAACGACGGAATTGAGCTGGCGGATCTTGAGAAACTCTAGCAGAGCCAGCATCTCCTGTGACTCGGTTGACTTTCCGAGGATCTTGGTCTCCCCTCTGATAGACAATGCGCCGTAGTCCGCATCAAAAAGCTTCAGTAAGTCATCCGATGAGGCAATTATGTAACCCGAGGGGTTTGCATCCGTAGGGATGGTGTTGAGGAGCTTGCGTGCCTGGAGACGTGATGCGTAAGAAAGACGCTCGATGTTCCGAGAAAGTGTATCACCGATCAACCGACACATTTTCCGAATCGGGAAAGGTACTCGCATGCCGGCGTCTCCATATGAGTGGCAGGAGATCAGACCCCAAAGATCATGCGTGTTGTTGATACTGATCGACATGGACGCACGGACCCCCATGTTCGCTAGGTACTTGATGTGGATAGGCGACATTGCACGCAAGTAGGCATGTGTCATGTCTAGAGGAGTCTTGAGATCCTCGATGCCTCGACACACCAACCGTGAGCTCATCTGCTCACGGTCGTAGAGTATGCGTACTTTGTTGAGACGATACAGGTCGCGGGCTTGCTTTGGAATATCCGACGATGGGAAATGTAATCCCTTATACAAGTCCTTGGTCATTCTCGTGTCGACTAATTCTGCCACCACATCTCCATTGGCCTCGCTATCAAACTGATATATCATCACGCGGTGAAATCCCGTTAACTCCTTAACTATGCCAATCGTAATGTTTAGCAAAGCGTCCATGTTTTGGGCATCACCAAGCTGATCCTGAATCTGGCTAACAATACTGAATACCTCCATGGCAGCTGCTTCGCCCCTCCTTCTGCGTGCATTCCGAAGCACTCGTAGCGGCTGGCTGATGTTCACAGTGCTGCTTGCTAATTGATCAGGTGTTGGTTCAAAGCCCAAGGTATCCGTCGGGGATGTAGGTGTTGTGCGCCCAGCAACGTTGAGAGGGTTAATGCGGTCGTCCTCCAATTCGAACTCACAGATGAGCACATCCCGGTGAGCGGGGTTTACATGGATGGCACACCAAAAGCGTCGAGGACGGCTAAGTCGATCCTTAACAGCAAGGATAAATACCTCTGGGCCATCGCTAACGGGGTCATATCCATCGTCTCTGATGAAGTCAATATGATCGAGGAGGATGTCGGTCTGGTCGTCTTGCAGGAGGTCAGAGAAACTCTCCAGCGCAAAAAGGTTACTTGGCGAATGACCCAAAATAGCCTCAGAATTTTCACTAGCTACATGGACTGCTAGTGAACCCTCAGGTGTCTCGCGCAAAACAAGCATGACGCCAAAGGTTTGCACGGCGCCCGGAATGTGGATCGGTTCGTCTTCACAGGCCCGAAAAGAATCAGGTGTATTGCCTGTTATAACAGCATGACCCGCCGCCGTGACCACGTGCTGGAACCGCGAAGTAACAAGGCTCGCATGGCCCTCTTCCGGCGCGACTTTCCTGTACGTGGAGCTCTCATCCGGCGGAGCGTCTCGCTCGGCAGCGCTCGAGGCCGGCGAGAAGACATCAGAAGACTGCTGCGAGAGCCGACCGGTCGACTCAGGACTATGGACAGGCGCGTTGGGAGAAGGATTGGTATGTGGCGAACTAGCAGATTGTGAACTCAATTGGTCCCAAGTATCGGCGTCGATAATTGAATATGAACGAGCACCACTTCGCGGAGAACGCATTTCATTTGGTATGCTTTGCTGGGTAATGTCTGTGGAAACGGGATTAAAGGAGATGATTGACCGAATAGGATATACTCGATCCGTGCCGCCTACAGTCGTACTGTCCATGGAGGTATTATGGCCTTGATCCGGAACAGTCGTTTCTTTTTTGGATGTCGGCGGTACTTCGGGGGCATGAGGGTCGAGATCCGTGCCCCGGCCTGTCGAGGTGGGGGGATCGTTCGAATCCATTTTCGGACTAGGGGGGAAGAGCAGTGGCCCGGTAGGAAATTGTGTGCTCTCCACGTATGCTCAACGTGACATTGGCAAGTTGTGATTATGGGGTGGCCTGGGCGATGCGAAGCAAGTGGTTCAACCGGAGTAAAATGTTGTCCTCCCAATCGACCGCGGGGAATAATCACGGTCGGTTGCCCAAGGCAGCCAGCGGGGTGAAACTGCTCGATATGGGGGAACGGGGCCGCAATAGGATACTCGACGCACAAGGTGACGCGGGGTAGGACAAATCGGAGGATATGGGGGAGAAGTCTGGAGTATACTGATGAAGGGTTAGCGGTGACTTGGCAAGCTGAAACAATGTAGCTAATAGTAACCACCACTCATCCAAATGGGGAGGGTAAGAACCAAACACATACTAACAATAGGTGAAGAGGGGAGGTCGAGACCGGGGGGAGGGGTTGTGGTGGCAGGCGGGCTGATAGTGAGGAGCAATATATTACCACTATATAGAATGGTCACAGAGGCGAAAGTGATATAGTTCGTCGCACTGCCCGAACAATTCAAATGGAGACCGGTTACCGACCGAGAGGGTAAGGTATTTCGGGAATCCAAACGCCCCTTAGCGAGGGTTCCAGCGAGGAAACAAGCAAGACGGAGCAAGTCAGAGGAGGAGGAAAAAGAATCAGTTTCATGAGGACGGACTCTCTTTCGTTCCCCAGATGGCCCGGATGCCTTCTTTGGGGTTAGCGGCCAGCCGTTGGTGGCCAGAAGTTGGCAGAGACCAATCAGCAACACGGTTGACCCCTCCACAGGGCCTCCCGCCCGACTGGGAAAAAAGATGAATTCCAGCCCGCGATACACCACGATCGGGTAGTGTTCCTGCCAATCACAGCCCTGCGCATCCTGAGACGAGTGCCGTTTCCAGGCTAGCCCACATGTCCACTCCACACATAGTACGTACGATGAGGGTTATCCTGGCATTTTTGGCGAATTTATCTCTTCATTTCCTCATCGAGTTAGTACAGTACCTGGATGGTTAGTCAGTCACGTTCATGTTCACAGTAACCATCTGCCTGGTACGTAAGTAGTGATGAAAGTATGAAAGTGTGGCAGCTGTTAGGCAGACAGTAATGTGGCCAGGGTTCATCCACCACACCTCCCAAACTTATCGACCCGGATAATAACTTAGAGTGACATGAACGTTGAGACAACCACCCGCGAACTCTCTCGTTCCAGAGACTGACATTGACCAAGTGATGACATCATCGCTATCCTTCCGGGGGTTACAGGGTAGTTAGTCATATTGGTGCATCCCTGCCTCACTCTTCCTAATAATTGGGTAGCTTTAAGCAACCTTTCAACAACAATGAATTGATCCTGATCGGAAACTTTAGTGGCACTGGCAGTGGCAGCGCCACGTACCATCGCGTCCGTCTCCCAGGAATCAGGTACGATTCTTCCTTCGAAAGTCTTTCTTTCTTTCTTAGACAATATCTGGCTGCATGTAAGGTTAACCCCGTCGCAGCTGCCAAGTGGAGACTGCCTAATTATCAGACCGATTCAATGATCGGCCCTGTCGGCTTGGGCTATCTATCGATCCTTCGGTGTGTGAGCCTTCCATGACTCGCAGATTGACCGTCAGGCCGCATAAGAAACTCACAAGAAGCAGGATACGGCCTGCTGTCTAGTGAACATTAAGAGTCATCTATTACGCAGGAGACGACCCTGGCCAGCCACGGGACTCCGCTTCTCATGACGGCTACCGGGACTAGACTATATGATACCTCATTAAGGGCTCCTCTCTGGACTCCATCTGGCCCGGACTGGTCCACGCCCAATCGCCCATAAGTCACTAGCTTGCCGATGTACCGCACCTATCTCATGCACGGGTCCGAGCTATCTAATTCGAATCGCCCGGTTGCTGGCCAGTGCTGCGGGTGATGATAGTTCCGGATTTCCGGGACGTCGGACTAGTTCCGACCCACCATCCGATTTCTGTCTCGGCCGATCTTGTTCAGGGCCCTGTGGACGGGCTCGATGGCGACATGCAACGATCTACTACTTACTATCTTTGGAAAATTTCGACCCGCCCAGTCACCCCCCTACGTCCGAATAAGGTATACGTACAGAAGAGTGATCATCTATCGTAGCATGGTACAGATTATATACAGATAATAGTATATACAGAAAATTTTGGTCATGACGTATACATGGCTCAGAGTGACAAGACTCCGGTCCGGGCAGCCGTGTGGGCAAACTCAGCCATCACTGCAGCCACTTTCCCAGATTCCGGGCATTTTGCTGTACAATGCGCCGGAAACCTGCTTGGGGGTGAGCTCTTTACCAGGGCAGAAGTCTTTCTCGGAAGACTAGAACCCGATATCAGTATCGGTGTAGCCCTGGTGTGAGATATATCACAGTTTGAGATTGTATATACATGCGGCAAGGTCTTGCAGCACAGAGAGGTTTCGAATGTCAGGAAGGTCGCTCTATTTCCGACGAGGTGACATGCTGACTTCGGCGATCGGATAGGGCAAGACTGTCCATGGAGATGGCTGTCCACGGATACTGCGACTGCCGTCGACTGTAGGCGGGGGCAGCACGTGTCACATCTCCCGTGATCTGGTTGGGATCAACAAATGTTGGGTAGGTCTCCTGATCCGAGGAGCTCGACTCCGCCGGGCGGGTATTGACCAGCGAAACCAGTTTCCTCAGGACGCCAAATTCCAGCTTCAGTTTCACACTGTAGACTGCAGCCTTCAAGGTGGTCTGGAGTGTGTATAGTCCTACATACTCTAGAACCAGGAGCGCGACATCCAAGAGAATGATCACCAGGTTGATGGCTATCAGCTCATACATGGTCTTATGCCGTTCAGCGTCCTTTTCGGGCCGCAAACGTAGCAGCTTCAGAGTCTCGGCGATGTAGATGATTGAGATGAGAATCTCCTGTGCACAAAACCAAGCAAGCTGCAAGCGCTCCATCACATTGAAACCTCGAATAACGGGCGTGGTGCCGACATAAATCGTACAATAGGTGAGCACAGTCGTAGGAATCAATAGGACGATCGTATCGAAGATGATAAGGTACAGCACCCGCCGCAGCAGCGTTTGGCTCTGTACGACCAAATGGAGTCGAGAGTAGAGTACAATGGATTGGCCTGGGACCATAAAATAAAAACCTAATGTAGAGAAGGTGACTGCAAACCAGAGAGGCCCGATGGCGAAGAACTCCAGCAGAAAGCCGATTGCTTGGGGGATGACGCCAAGCACGGCGGAGAGCAACATGGCCCAGAAATAGAGACCGCTGTAGCGAGTGAAGGTGAGGAAGATGAGAATAACGAGTTCGACAGCATTATACAGAGCAATTGCACAGAAGACTGCCATCAAAATCTTGATGGCCATGCTACCACCCTGGTAACCTCCAACGAGGCCCTCGGGCGGTTTGGAGAGAGAATCCCACATGTTTGGGGATCGGTGACCTCGACCACAGGGTTAGGCTGATATTGTAGATGTCCACCACCCTCCCAGGAATGGAGGTCAGAGGACGAAGGCAGTAGGCCGGTTATAGATTCCGATTGCGACGAGTTTAGAAGGTAGCGCCATGTCAAACCGATGTCAAAGTCCGGCAAATCGGTCTATGCCTCCCGACGAGCAAGAATTGCGACGGACCAGAAGCACTTGTAAAACCTAACGACTTCTTTCTTTGCATCCTTATCTTCCCAGTCGAACAACTGCCCAGCCGATCGCAAGGGGTCTCTGGAGCCTCCTAGGTCCAGATTAGCCTTCGTCAAGTGAGGCGCAGCGTCCGGTTTACCGGATAGCCATGAAACGCACGCAAGCGCCCAGTTTCAATACTGAGTTGAAGGTAGGACGCTAGTGGGAGGAAAAGACTCTGGTGGCGATTTAAGGTGGTTGTTCGTACCGTTCGTCGCAAGATGAAGGGGGAAGGAGGTCTTCAAGGGCGACAGGGGAAAAGTCGGAAGGTTTTGGAGCGGCGCCACTGGAGGTCTATTTTAATTGTATCGCTGAAGGAAAGCCAGAACGAACAGTGAAGGAAACATGGAAAGAAAGAAAGAAAGCCGTTAACACCCGGAGGTGAGGGGTGGTTGTTGATTTCAAAAGATTGAGAGATTGAGAAAGAAGAGGGTAGAAGATGGAAAGGAGCGGGGAGGCGAAAGAAAGAGCGACAGAGCGAGCGGAGAGAAGAGGAGAGAAGCGAAGGAAGAGAAGGGACTAGATTATTGGATCATGGGGAGGAGTTGGGGAGGGGGGTTGGAAGAGACAGAGTTCTGGGACGGGACTTAGGAAGAGTCTGGGGTTGAACCCGCCTGCCTGAATTTCGGGGAACCTGGCATTACAGCGCCGGCGCCTCTGGCAACTCTGCAGGCTTGGGCCTCTTGTCCGGCTGACCCTAATTCCGCGGGGGCCAGGCGGTGTTAAGGGTCTCCCAGTCCCAGCAGGTACCAGACCTAAGTACTCCGTAAGTACTAACTAATAGTAGGCCTGGGCGCATACTTCAGCGTACCAAATACCCGCTGCTCTGGTTCCCCGGCTGGTTCGTCGGGTCTCCCAATAGCCGAGCCCAGCCAAGACTGTGGCTGGTGGTACGGTATTTGGGGGGGAGAGGAGTCACATGGTTCGTCTGCTCTCCCTCGTCTAACTTCCCTGGAATTGTCAGTTCCAACTCCCTTCCCCAGTCTCCTTCCCTCATCTCCTACACTTTCTATATTTGTGCTTCGCCATCTCGTCCGAAAGATACCCTAAACAGACATGGAGTCTCCGAGGCACAACCTTTCGTGGCTCTAGTGCTTTACCCCAGATTCCTGTTCAGCAACACGAACCAAATAGCAACCGCTCCCCTTCCCCCCTTGAAACTTTAATACTTTGATGGTCCTAGCATCTTCTCGTATACACCTCCCTCCATCTACACGGAATAAGCAAGGATCTGCATAATTCGTTCCTCAGCCGGGAACGAAAGCTGGTCAGTGCCATAACAAACTATTCATGCCATGTGCTAAAGTTCCGCATTCCATCGATCACATTGTTGTGGAACCGAAGCCACTGGTTCTCCTAATTATATACTTGGCTTCGGATGAGAGCGCCAGCCTACGATGGCATGAAAACCTCCCGCATACTTTAATGGCCTAGACCAGTGCCATAGTCTAATTCCTGCACATACTCTCAGAATCCCAATACTCGCTGCCAACCCCGTTCCGCACCATGAACAGGTCGTCCGGATCCCACTGGCTCTTGATTTGACGCAAACGGCCATAATGGCGACCCCAGAAAGCATTCTGAAAGTCACTCTGATCGGGATCTGCCTCGTTGAAGTAGACACCACCTCCCTCAGGATCGATGGAGGCAAGGATAGGTGTATTGATCTGAGACAGCGTTTGATGTGCGGCTGATTGTGCTTCGGGCGTGGGCGGGAATGATTGCATCAAAACTACAAGGAGGGAAGATGACCGCCACATCGGATTGAGAGATGTGTCCCCGTCCTTGGCGTTGAGGTTAATCTGCCCTCCCAGCACATTGACCGTAATTAGTGCCCCAGGATCCAACACCAGCTTCGAAAAGGACGCTGTCAGTCTTGAAGCGCCGGCGATGCTATTCATTAATGACTCGGATATCACTACACTGCTTTGCAGGTATCCGATCCCGCCAATGTCTGCCTGCTTGGGAATAGTGAGAAAGGCGCTTATTCTGGAGTATTCAGCCAACTCATATTGATGTTCGATACCAAGCCAGTCAAGAAACCTCAGAAAAGGCAGAACCTGTTCTTCAAGCAACTCTGAATCGTTGTCGTCCCAGACGAACATTGTCCAGTTCACGTACCAATGGTAACTCGGCAGACGACCTACTATGTACTGTCCCGAATTTCCATTGACCGACATGGATTGCGTTAGTCGCACAATCTGCGTTATTGTTTGCCAGAAGATATCATTTGCTTGTGGATAGGTGAAATGGATGGTCGGGATAACTGATGGGATATCTCGAAATGTTCGCATCGTGACTTTGGTGACAATGCCATAAGTGCCTCCTCCGCCTCCCCGGAGGGCCCAAAACAGATCCTCGTGTTGGTTCTCGTCTGCAGTGACTATGTCGCCCTGATTCGATTAGCGCCGTGAGAGTCGATGGAAAGTTGCACGTACCTGTGCCGTCACAACCTCCAGTTCCAGAACATGGTCTACCGCCAGTCCGTACAATGGACTAAGGACTGTTGACACTCCACCTCCCTGGAGATACCCTCCAGCGACGCCGACCGTGGAGCATTCTCCTGCTACTACGATAAGCCCTCGAGCAGCAGCGGCGGCATAAAGCTCACCTACCATAACTCCTGCCCCGATAGTGACGGCAGGCACTCCAATGGCGTTGACATCATCTATTCCCAAACCCCCTTGGGAAGGGACGAAGTCGTAGTGGAAGGTTATGTCTTTCAAGCGATTCGTGAGGATCTGAAGAGAATTGGGAGCACCTGATCGACCAGTTGAGTCATGACCTGTGTTCTTAATAACCAACCGAATATTTCTTTGCTTGGCAAACCTGACCACCGTGCGGATCTCGGAGACCGAGTGGACTACTGCAGAGTATAACGGTATGCGCCCTTGCCCGCACACGGAGCTCGAGTTTGCCTCAATGGTACAACTCTCGTTTTTCCCTGGCCAATTCTCCCAGTTGAAGCTTTGCAAAGCTCCTTTAGTGTTTGCATTCATGTTAGCGACAACAGACCGAGGCATTTCTCATGACTGGGAGCCTACCTGGTTGCTCTGCGCGCCAGTTAGAATCGTACTGCAAGTGAACAAGCTGATTGCAGGAGGCTTGGTTGAAGAAGGGCACATGGCATACGTGACCAATGGGGTAGACGCGAACCAAATGGCCACTGATGGATTCATTCAAGTGTTTCCAATCATCCCGGGAAGGCCAGCATGCGTCACTAGGTTGACATCGACATGCAAAACTGGCTCTCACGAGAGACGACACCTGGAGCATCAGCAATGCTAGAGTTGTCAACATTGTTGATCGTTGTGGTTGATGCACCTAACTCGCTGACAGTGGCAAGTATAGGAAGCTACATCCGAAGCATCGAGCATAGTATCGGTGAACGAATCTTCTGGGTCGGAAGGTCCTTCCTGTGTTGCTACTACTAACTTTAGATCTCCATGGCAGCCTCTCGTCATTTTTGCTCGACAACCATTCTGACGACTATATGAATATCCCAGCCACTTATTTGCGGACCTTATCTTAGGCTGTGACACCAAGCTACGCGCGGTGTACTATGGGCTTCTAAGGTTTACGACTGGGGAACCGGATGCACCCAGGGCGGGCCTCAAAGTACCCTTATTAGAACTTTCTCTTAGTAAGAACAGTCGATCACTAGCTTTAGGAAGAGGAAGTAGTACAAATTTATCATGCAGGTAAGCGGCAGTACAATGGAAGAGGTTCCATATTTGGTGCCTGCTGGTAGGTGCCCCTTATGATGCTTGCCTGCAATTGCTGGTCTATATATAGATTAAAGGGTAAACGGATATACAAGTGCATAACGAAGCTATAAATCCATTTCATGCCTGCTTTGACCTTTTCAATCCCATTGACAATTTGTCATTGGTGAACGTGTAGTGAAAAAGCGTAGCAGGATACTTCATATCTAATGTTGTGTGGGGCCTCAGGCACGGTAGTTGGAGGGCTCTTTTCTCAGCTCTCCAACTCCCATGTTCACAACTCCACTCTCGTTCACAGCCCAACTTTGCAACCATCCGCCATCACTGACTTTCTCCGGACTCCGAAGTACTACCGTTAGTGCCACTGTATCCGAGCTACTGTACGCCTTTCTTGATCACCGACAAACGCTCCCCACTTGGGTTGCGTCCCGATCGGCGCTGTCGCGCAACCTACAGAGTACAGACTACAGAGACTGGTGAAGTGGCCGCGCTAGTCGCGCTGGACGAGCTCTTCGCTGACCCCCTCTTCTCCACAAGAATTTCGGAAGTTCCATCCCCGAACGGAACTTTCACATCGATCCAGAGTCTAAGAGGCCCCCATATGTTGTCCTCATCGCCGTGCCGATCGACTCTGCTGCTCGGGCGCTAAGTTCGGACCTGGAATACCAGACGGATGAGGCCTGGGGAGGAAATAATGCGGGCGTCCATTTGTCCGTTCAGTAGTGAAGGAGGAACAAAGAAGAAAATTGAGAAGAAGAACGAGGCGGGAGGTGATAAGCTTCTGCAGCAAACTGCATTGCATTATGCAAGTTTTCTCGACCTCGCGTTTCTGCAGCTCTTCATGAACTCCGCCGAGCAGTATCTGATCTCGTACCCCCCGGTCGCATACCCGACAATTCTGGTCTAGCCGGCTTACAGAGGTCTGCACTGGAATGCTATGTCTTCTCCCCTCTTCGCTCGTGTTCACTTCCACCAATGGCAAACAGCTGGACGACTAGTGGTGGGCGAAGGAGCATTCAGCAGGGCGGTTAGGAAGATGATCCCTGTCAAGCTTATGCATGCTGTTAGCTCCTTGAGACAATGTGTCAATTCCGCTGCGGAAATGCCCCCGAGGAGGGAAGGTCTCGGGGAAATAGAGCAGTCGGTCTTGCGCCGCGGAACTCAAAGATCATCACTCTGAACGGCTTTGAGTGGACCTCAACAGTTTGCCTAGAGACGTCCAACTCACTTAGTCTTGACTTTGTGGGCCTGGAATAGCCCATGATGTGTCCGCACGGCTGACCTGACCCAAGACACGGCAGCTCACAACACAACGGTGTAAGCCGTCTCTGGTTCCGTCTTTTAGGCTGGCCGGGAATGGATATGGCGCGAACGTTGCGGGGTTGTCATTCGTATCTCACTGTCGATCCCAGAATTAGACACAATGGGAGTCCCACCCGCCAAGCTTCTGTCAGTTGCCTTTAATTGGGGCTTCTGCTCTTCTGACTTGTGATCCTTTTGTCTTGTGAGACACTGTTCTTCTCGCTGTGTTACAGCTGTCGACAGGGTAGTACTCTTGACTTTACAATGGCCTCGACTGATCAGACGTGGGAGTTCATCGTTGTGGGTGGTCAGTATGAAAGTCTCTTCGTTGATCAGGACCTTAGCACCTAACAATGTTATAGGTGGCCCGGCGGGTTGTGCCCTTGCCTCAAGACTCGCTCGGTCAGCGCGACGCCCCCAGGTCCTCCTGCTCGAAGCCGGCCCTCGTAAGGATGATCCATCCCTGCGTGTGGACGGCCAGCGATGGCAAACCTTTATGAATGGGGACCTGAACTGGGGCTACAAGACCACCCCGCAAGAGCATTGTAACGGTCGACAGATCGACTATTCTCGGGGCAAGGTGCTGGGGGGCAGCAGCGCCATCAACTTCGGTGTCTACACCGTGGGTGCGCGAGATGACTATAACCAATGGGCTGGGCTTGTTGGTGATGACTTGTTTCGCTGGGAGCGCATGCAAGCTCGATTCAGGCAGTTGGAGACATTCAACGGTGCCATTGTGGACCCAAAGAACAGCAAATATGCGACCCCAAAGACCTCCGACCACGGCTCTCAGGGGGGTCTGAAGGTTGGCTATGCGGCTGAATGGGAGCAGGATCTTCCTCTCATGATGGATGTGTTCGAACAGGCTGGCCTGACTCGCAATCCTGACCACAACTCGGGCGACCCGATTGGCATGGCTTTGGTCATTAATTCATCCCACCAGGGCCGAAGAGTGACGGCAACTGATCTTTTGGATGGGGCACCGTCCAATCTGACTATCTTAACGGAGACGCCAGCGCTCAAGCTCATACTCCAAGGCACCAAGGTTGTTGGCGTGGAAACCAAGGGGGCAAAATGTATGCGTTAGAACTATCCCTCATTGAATGATCCAACTAATCAGGCTCGTCGCTGCAGACTTCGCATCTAAGGAAGTGATTCTAACAACCGGATCACTGGACACGCCCAAGATCTTGATGCATTCGGGACTTGGGCCAGCGGACCAACTAAAACAATTTGGGATCCCCGTCGTCAAGGACATACCTGCGGTAGGTCAGGGTCTTCGTGACCACTTCTTTGCACCGTTGTGCTTCCAAAGGAACCCGACAACAAACGATCGCGACGCCTTCTTCGGCAACTCGGCCGCCATGGAGTCTGCTCTAGAACAATGGAGCAAAGATGGCACTGGACCATGGGCACGTCACTCGTGTCAGATTGGCGCCGGCTGGCTCAAATCGGATCGTTTGGTCGCATCTGAGGAGTTCAAAGCACTGCCTCCGACTGTGCAGGATTTCCTACAACGCGACACGGTGCCACATTATGAGTTCATGACACACTTCCCAATGCATCTTATCGCTCCCGAGCCCTTTAAGGATTACAGCTACGTCTGTATGCTGGTGTTTTTGATGAACGAGCAATCCAGTGGCGAAGTACGCCTGCAGTCAGCCAACCCTGAAGACCCTCTGTTGTTTGACCCGAAGTTCCTGTCACACCCGTTTGACAGGCGCGCATGTATTGAGATCTACCGCCATGCGCTAGAGGTAACGAAGCATGAATCTTTCCAGAAGGACACAGTGTCCGCCTTGATTGCTCCTCCATCCGAGTCGGATGAGGATATCCTAGAGTTCTGGAAGAACACCCTCGGGTCCAGTTGGCACATGACTGGGACGACCAAGATGGGTAAAACCGGGGATGTCGATGCAGTCGTGGACAGCCGGTTCCGGGTATATGGTGTCGAGAATCTGCGGATCGCTGACATGGGTGTGGTGCCTGTTTTGACCAACAACCACACGCAGGCGACCGCGTATGTGACTGGTTTGACATGCGGCGATGCGCTGGCAGAGGAATATGGACTTGATATTTCGGAGGCTCGATTGTAGGTGGTTTACAAGGCATGAACAAGAACTTGTCTGGAATGTGACTATGGTCAATCACTGGCTCTCTACATCGATACCTTATAAGGGCCTATGTCAATCTATATCTGGAGCCGGGACTCGGCATATACGAATGATGATGTTCTGAAGGTGGGACAGGTGAAATTCCTATACGATTCTCATCATTTCATCATCCTCCCGTCTTCAAATGGCCAGTCGTGTACCTCATCAACACGAATAAATGATAATACCCTACGTAACCAGGAACGTACCCTTCCTTTGGAAGTCCAGATATCTCGGTCTTTACCTGTCCATCACACCACACTCCAACGCAACAACTAGGACGACAAATAAGAAAGTCTCTACAACTAGTTTCTCATTTACGCAATATCTACTCCCAGGTAAACATTTCTTTACTTGCTATATAGACAAACTCCACTCGAAAAGCCACTCCACCAAAACCAAAATAATGGAATCACCACACAAGATATTCCTCATACCTGAGGTACTGGAACAAGTCCTCGTGGAGCTCGACGCAACCACCCTCCTCCTCTCCCAACGCGTCTGCCACCTCTGGAACTCACTGATCAAGACATCCCCGACCCTCCAAAGAGCCCTATTCTTCCGCCCTGAAAAGCAGCCACCAACCGAAGACCAAAACCCCAAGCGCACCACAAACCCCTTCTTGGACAAGCTCCTGAAGCACTTCGTCAGCAACCCTACATCAGTCAACGGCACACAAGATAGCAGCAACTGGCTTTGTCTATTCATGCCCCAACAAACAACGAATCATCAAAGGCTAGGACGGAAGCAGCACCCCTACTCCCGCCCCGAAGCCAGCTGGCGGGAAATGCTCCTCGACCAACCACCAACCCCGAGCATAGCGGTCAGGGATGACCTCATGCCCCTGAGGACATTTGGGGTACTCTGCGACGAGAGAAAGTCCGTCCTCAGATTAAAGCATCTAGAGACGCTTGTTCAGGTGTGTTTTTTGCTCCCTGTGGGGAACATTCTCATCTTCTATCCTATGCAAAGTCGTCCTTTGTACCGCGCGCCGGTCTCAGGTCTACGAAGATCTTTGGAAAATCGTCACACTTATATCATGCCTAGATCCTTTAGGCCGACGCGATTGTCTGCGGCGGGGGGAGATGCCTCCATGCAAGGTGGCAGAACTGCAGGTCTCCCATGGTTGATTGGGGTTATGAAGTGGCTTAAGGAGTCGGGATGGGGGTGTATGCGGGAGATTCGGAGCTTGGAGTATGCTCTTCATTTTATGGACTTACGTTTCTTGTGAGGTCGGACGGTATGGGGTATCAGGTGGGAGAGTAGTGGTGACATGCAGACACTTGCTTCTGCGCTATACTATGAAAAGTGTGCGTATATTGACATCTGTTGGTGATCGAGGGTATGGGTACTCTGATGAAGAGTGTAGATCTATGTCGAGGGATAACTGGGATAGTAGTTAGGATTTCTCTTGTCGAATGACAATTGAAGTTTGTTCATATATGCGCTCTCCTACTGTGCAATGTTAAACATACTCACATCGTAGTATCTACCGATTGCATTCAATAACATGAGATCAAAGCGTTACACAGTGCTAGAAGGTGTGTCAAGTCTCGAGATGAGCAGGAACATTCGAGTGTAGTACCTAATGAACAGGAAGCTAGGTATGTACATAAGAGACGAGATGCTCACCAACTATAAGCACACTATGCAGGCACAGCCTGTCAATACTGTCCACCGTGACCGTCCGCTTGACCGCTAAAGGCGGCAGAACCTAGTGAACCTCGATCAAAAAACATCGGATTTAAGCGGATTTAAGGCTTTCCAGATTCCAGATGGTCACCGTGGATTCTGTATGTTTTTTGACCGCCTTTTGAATTCTGCCGTTGGGCATGCCAGTGCCTTACGACTACCAAGTACACATTCAGCATGAACTGTGCAATGTCTTAGACGCTTCATGCTATCTGATAAGAGGCCCGCAATATTTCTGTAGGCCAGATTCAATATTTCAGGCACTTTGTGAAACTGCAAGCAATCTTCGACAGAATATTCCATGCATTTGCAACCCCGTCCAACATCCCGCGAGCGGCAGCTTCAATTTGGCTGTTTTCATTACTTTCGAGGATGGATTTCAGTGGGTACTGCGATCGCTGCATACAAAGGGCACTGAGATGTCAAGGAGGTTATTTCGAAACTGCTCTTTGACTCTATTGATGACTACCATCTCTTTGCTGCCATCTGGTGACATATATATGGCCAAGAAAAGGACGCTAGGTCTTATTATACCGAGAAGCGATCGCCCCCAAGCTTGATCGAGCTGTACAATGACATCCGACTGGGAGACCAGCCAATTCAGAAGATCCAAAAGGCTGAGCGGGAGTATTTTCGGGGTAACACATCCCAGGAGGCCATTGCAAGGAAGCCAACACCAGTTTCGCAGTGGGGTTGCCAGCACACGCCACCCCACCAGCAGCGTCTCCGGAAAGCGGGGGAGCTTTTGGTCACTGACTCCAAGCTGTGGAAGTGGATCATGCTGTTCAAATTTGAGTGGGATCGGACTCACGGATACAAACCCGTCTCAGAGCGTTGAATCGGTACAATATTACTTCTTTCACGGCTTACTCAGAAAGGTGGTCCTGTTGCTCTATATGCTATTCGAAAAAGGAAGAAATAAAATTCTATAGGAATCCCCGGAGATATTCGCCCAGCGCCATGATGGCCATGGCCTGTCCATATGGCATGGCTGTCAAGGGAATCTTCTTATAGAATTCCAAAGAATCTCCCATGCCGGTGCCAAAGCTCGTCTGCTGCAGTTCTCCAGTCTCATCAACGGCGCCCAACACTGCCTGAACGGCCTTCTCTGCAACTACACGATACTTCTTTGGCAGATACCTCTTCCTGACAGCCTTGAGGATACCATATGCAAAGCCTGCGGTGGCGGAGGCCTCGACATACGAATCGGGATGGTCAAGCAGAGTGTGCCAAAAGCCCGATTCCTCCTGCAGGCCCATTAATGCCTCGCATTGGGCCTCTAAAGTATCCAACAAGAACAGGCGAATGGGATCTGTCTCCTTCAGTTCCAACAACTCAACAAATTCTGGGATAACCATTGTCACCCAACTATTACCGCGCGCCCATCTCGCCCTGGCAAAGTTATGTCCTCCCTCCTCGAACGTCCAGCCATGAAACCACAGCCCGGTGCTCGTATCCACCAAGTATTTTACGTGCACCAACGTCTGACGCTTGGCCTCCTCAACATACTCTGGTCGATTCAGCAACTTTCCAATTTTCGCTAACGGCATCACGGTCATCATCAATGTATCATCCCACAACTGCTGGTAATTTTCCGTAAGGTATGTGGCGTGCTGCATTCCGCCCTGCTTGGTGCGTGGGAGCTCATGCATGGCCCACTCGGCCCATGAATCCAGCCAGGGCAGATAGACAGGATTTTGCGTCTTCTCGTATACGTATGCCAGAGTGAGGAAGACGGCCATTGTGTTGATGTTCTTGGTGGTGCCGCCTTCTGCGAAACGGGCGGCGAACCAATCCTCGATAATCTGGAGGAGGTGTGGGGAGCCGGTCATCTCGTAGTATTTCCAAATACCATAGAGGCCGATACCATGTGTCCACTCCCAACCATGCCAGGACTTGGTATCGATGATGCGGCCATCGGCGAGGGGGAGGAGGAATTGACCGGTTTTGTCTTGGATGTTGACGAGGTTGGTGATGAGGAGGTCAATTTTGGACCTGACAGCGGGAGGAGATGTAGAAGCCATGGTGAGAGATGAGGAATCGAGGAGATTTGCTGAGGTGGCGGTTGATTGTGCTGCAGTATGGTGACACCGGTGTCTATAAGTGGGATGAAGCACCCCTCGTGTCGAGCTCCAGCAGCAATGCGGGGAATGCCCTCGGGCTAAATTCTGCCGAGCAGCCACGTCTTAATCCTGCCAAGCTCGCTCGGCAAATAGAGGGATTGGTCGTTTAAGATGCTAAACTAAGGATAGGCTCTGAATTGCTTCTAAGCGAAGGGTTCGGGCCAATTGTCCCCGCGCGGGGGCGGACCCTGCCGCCCCCGGATTGTACGCGTGGAGAATCCCAGCCCGCAGGCATCCCTGGCATCAGACTATCAGACTATCAGACCTGCCCATCATGCCTCTCATTGGAGTGAAAATGCAGCCACGGAGCAGCCACTCGTGCCCTAGTCAGACTCTATCTTCCGCATGACCGATATAAGGGTGTCCGGTCCCCCAGCTGGGTCGACCCAGTTGATCCTCTCCAACCCTAGAGGTCTGGCAGCAATATGTCTATGGAGAATATTAGCTCGATGCCCGCGGGCGGGCCTGACTTCAAAGGAGCTTCCACAGCTGTGGAGGATCACAAGCCGACTCAAGATGTCTCCCATGTCGAGCGGGTGCTCTCGCCCACCGACAAACTCAAGGACCCGATCGATGCTGCTCGCGTCGATAATGAGGTGCTGGAGTATGCCACCCGCGGCCAGATCGAGGTCGACGAAGCCGAGAGTCGGCGTCTTCGCCGCATGATTGATCGCCGTGTGTTGGTCATCATGATCGTGACATATTTTCTGCAGGCGCTGGATAAGGGTACCATGTCGTTTGCTTCCATTATGGGCATTCGCGACGATGCTCATCTTGTGGGACAGGAGGTGAGTAAGCCTATATCTCGCTACGTTCAAATACTAACAAATTAGTACTCCTGGCTCACAACCTGCATTTACATCGCTGTCCTGATCGTCGAATACCCTACCAACTGGATCATCCAACGCGTCCGCATCGCCAAATACCTCGGCTTCAATATCGTCTGCTGGGGCACGATTCTAGCCCTGCACTCGGCATGCCACAACTTTGCCGGTCTAGTGACTGTGCGTACTCTGCTTGGTATCTTCGAAGCTGCCTGCCAGCCTTCCTTTGTTGTTCTTTCCGGAATGTGGTATAAGCGTGAAGAACAAGCCTCTACCGTCACCTTTTGGTAATCCTAGCCCTACACCTTTCATCTACACACACTAACATAGCAACAGGTACATGATGAACGGCGGCCAACAAATTGTTGGTGGTCTCCTAGCCTACTGCTTCAGTCTAATCGGCTCCGGCCGTGCGCTCAAATCCTGGCAAGCGCTCTTCCTCACCTACGGCTGCATTTCCGTGCTCTGGGGCCTCTTTGTGGTCTGGTGGATGCCTGACTCCCCAATGCGCGCCAAGTGCTTCAGCGAAGAGGACAAGCACAAGATGGTTGAGCGTGTCCGCGCCAACCAGACCGGACTGCAGAATAAGAAGTTCCGCGCGTACCAGATGTGGGAAGCGTTCCGGGATCCGCAGATGTACTGCTACTGCGCCATTCAGGTCTTTACCACGCTGCCCACGAGTGGACTTGGAGCGTTTGCGAACATCATCATTAGTGGGTTCAACTTTACAGAGTTGCAGACGCAGTTGTTGGCGATGGTGCTGGGCTTCTACATTATTATTGTCTTGTTGACGAGTGCCTGGTTGGTCAAGAAATATCAGCAGAACTTGCTGGTGATGTTGGGATTTATTATTCCGTGAGTCCCTCTCTCATACACTATTCTCATGTTCGTGATACTAACAGGGGATAGATCTTTCGTCGGAACCATCGTCCTCATGACGGTGCAGAATCACTCCCTTAGCACCAAAGTTGGCCTGCTCATCAGCTATTACATCACACTCTCGTTCTGGTCTGCGCAGAACTTGGGCCTGTCCATGGTGACGAGAAACATTGCCGGCGCTACTAAGAAGTCAACTGTTGTGGCCGCGACGTTTGTGTCTTGGGCTGTCGGGAACGCCATCGGTATGACCCTTCATTTCCCTATAGATCCAGAGATATACTAATGAAGTAGGCCCCCAAGTATTCCTCGACCGCGACGCCCCGCGGTACTTCACTGCCTTCGGCGTGCACCTCGGCTGCTACTCCGCCATGACACTGGCGGTGATCTTCCTGCGCTTCTACCTAATCCGGGAGAACAAGAAGAAGGACAAGGCAATGGCCGAGATGGGCATATCCCTAGAGGGCGAGGACCATCTAGCGAGGGCGTTCGAGGACAGGACAGACCGCGAGAATATCCACTTCAGATATATATACTAGGCCTAGCTAGCCTCCACTTCCCATACAATTCAAACATCTGATACCCTTGTCACCCCACAAACCCACTATATACACCCATCATATCATACTAGATAAGTAGACGATAAATCACTTCTTCTCAAGATCCGCCACCAAATCATCCACACTCCTCATCTCCTTCGCATTATTCTCCCCCACATCCAGTGCCACCAACACCCTACTAACACAATTATACCCCGCCACGCCCGTCGTCAACTCAACAATCTCCCGATCCGACAACCCCACCTCCTTCAACTTCTCAAACGTACTATCCTGCACTTTCACCGTCCGCGTCATCTCATCCACATACCGCACCACCGCCTTCTGCAGATCCGTCAATTGACTTCCCTTCAACTCCTCCTCCGCCTTCGCATCTCCCTCGGCCAGAGAGGGAAGTGTCCGCACCGCACCCAACTCCACCCCCTTAATGCCCCCCTTCAGCGCCAACGGCGCATGCGCATTCCACTCGTAGATGGCATTGGTCAGCACCGCGACGCGACACACCGCCAGCTCGAGTAATCCGCCGTCGATGATGGTCTGGGTGCGGATCGCGCCCAGGAAGCTGTTCCAGCCGTCGGCGACGGGAGGGGAATGGAGCAGGGAGAGGTCGAGGGGGATGAGGGGGCGGGGATGCCGGCGGGCGGCGATGCGGGAGTAGATTTCGGTGGTGGGGAGGTCGGTGGGGTCCGGGGGGGTGGAGGGGGCGTAGGGGAGGCGCATTTTTCGTGATTGTATTGATTTACTGGTGTGATGTTGTTAGATTTGTTGTAGGGGCAGGACAGAAATTGGCTTACAGTTTGAAGATGGAGGGTTTGGGTCGGGGTTTGGGGAAGATAAACATTAATGTGGATGGAAGGAGGGGTGGTGGGGTGGGGATGAAAGCACTTTAGTATTATTGTTATGTTGGAGTGAGTTTGGGATGGACCGTTTATCCGCCCGACCCGAGATTGGTTGCCGAGTGGGTGCGGGTGCGGGTGGTCGGCTGTGTAGATGCCGATAGTACTAAGTATTTTTGGTGTTGGTGGGCATGGGGTGAGTTCTGGGGTGGGAGGAGCACTAACTACTCCTAGGTAGGTAATTGTCAGCTAATTGCCAACTACTTACTGCTCACTGGTGCAGGGGGAGTCTGGGGTGCGGGGATCGTGCGTCGGCGCATTCTTGGGTCTGCAGGGGTATAGAGCAATCATACTGGATTCGGAGAATAGTAGCTGAGATGCTGAGATCGGGGGAGGAGGGCTAATACAGTGCTATCGGGTGTTTAGTGTCTTTACTATTAAGTTGACAGATTGACAATTAGTATTTGCTAGCTAATATCCTATTTATATATTGTTGAGATAGACTCACCACACCATCTCACTCTGTCATGGATATATCACCGAAGTTTCTCACATACCATACCTGCAAGGGACCCCCTCGCTGATCCCTCACGTCCCTCTTTGGCTCTCTCCAGCTCCATGTCACATAGTGGCTTAGAATCTCCCGAGTCCCGACTGCTCCAACAGCACTATTCCAGCCCAATGCCATCGGCTGATCCACGTCTATTGAACCTTGTTTTCCGCCATGACAGCTACCATTTTCGAGCCGTCAGCTTGGCGGAGAATCAAGCCCTGCAAGGGCGATGCAAGGGGGAGATGCAGAACCAAGTATCTATCAACGTTCCAACGTCGTTGCAATGGAACATGTCTGTCTCAACATGCATGACCCTAGCAGGTAGCTTCACATCGAGACATAGCTGACCGCTTGGAGAGTATATATCCTCTTCACCAGACTCTAGTCCGAATAGTAGGCCTGATACTTTTTTCCCACCACTATCCCAAGTATCATCACCATGAAGTGGCTCAACCTCCTCCCCATAGCCTTAGGGCTAGGTACTACCTCCCCTCCCTCCCATTTACCACCTACCACCTCTACCCATACTAACCAAGCCGAATACCAGCCCACGCAAGCATCATCTCCTTCTCCCCCCCAACCAACCCAGACATCATCTACAGCCTCACCATCCCGAACACCACGACCCTCTCAACCCCGGGCCCAATCTACATCCAAATCACGGCCCCAACCTCCATCCAATGGGTCGGCCTAGGCCAAGGCGCCCAAATGACCGGCGCGAACATGTTCCTCCTATACACCTCCTCGTCCACCAAAATCACACTCTCCCCGCGCTCCGGCCTCGGCCACTTCGAACCCCAATACACAAGCAACACCCAAATCACCATGCTCCCAGGCACCGGCATCTCCACCATCAACTCCACCACCGCCGCCCTCACCAACAGCAGCTCCCCCTCCTCCGATAACACCAGAACAACCATGACAGCCAACTTCCGCTGCGACAACTGTCTCACCTGGCAAGACGGCACCGGCACCATGAACCCCAAGGACTCCAACTTCCCCTTCATCTGGGCCTATCGCGCCGGAGTACCCATCAACTCCGCCTCCATGGACGCCGACATTTCCATCCATGACGACATGGGTGGTATCCAAGTCGATCTCACTCGGGCCGGTATGCCCCCTCAACCCAACGACACAACATCCCCGGATAGTAGTAGTAGCAGCAGCAACACCACAAACCCCTTCGCCAACTACAACCCCCTCACGGACTCCATCCCCGCCCAATCCCCCACCAACCCATCCACAACCTCCTCCCCGCTCCCAAACCTCACCAAAATGACCCATATCCTCATCTCCCACGCAACCCTCATGGCTCTCTCCTTCGTGCTCTTCTACCCGCTCTCCGCCCTGCTCATGCCCCTGCCCATCTCCCTCCCCATCTCAAAATTCAGACTGCATATGCCCCTCCAGATCTTCACTATGCTCATGACTCTCGCGGGCTTCGGGTGCGGCATCTACCTTGCCTATGAGACGGGGCAGTTGCGCACGGCGCACCCGATCCTCGGGATTATTGTGGTAGGCGTGCTGGTGCTGTTTCAGCCGGCTATGGGCTGGTTGCAGCATTTTGGGTATGTGAGGACGGGGGGCAGGACGGTGTGGGGGGTTTGTCATAGGTGGCTTGGGAGGGGGGTTATTGTGGTGGGTGTGGTTAATGGGGGTATTGGGATTCATGTTGCTAGGGGTATGGGGATGGCGCCGGTGGGGGCTGTGGTTGGGTATGCGGTTGTTGCCGGGGTGGTTGGGGGGATTTATTTGGGGGGGTTGTTGGTGGCGTGGATGGTCGAGAGGAAGAGGAGGGGGGTGGAGGGGGAGAGGGATGGCGGGAGGGTGGAAAATGTGGAGGGGAGGGAAGGTGGGGATGGTGATGCTGATGGAGAGAAGGGGGGAAGTGTGGAGGAGAGAGTTGGGTAGGATGATTGATGTAGGGTGAAAAAATGATGATGATCATGTGTGTGTTAGTATAGACTAAGATGAGAATAGTCTGGCAAGGATCAAGGGTTGGAGTAGTGAGTGACTAGTGGATCCCACGTGGTGTCAGCACTTTATTTATACCAGATTACATTTTACTACAAATAGTTGTCACAGTTCGCTAAATCAATGATAATTACATTTACTACATATAGTTCTCATATTTGTTTAAAATCAGTAATCATTAAATCTATACCATATCTATATCATAGCTGCATAGCTGCAAGCTGCATCTAGAACTTAAGAACAGCCTTACCCAGGTTCTTTCCGTGGAAAATACCCAACAAACCCTCGGGCGCATTCTCAATACCCTGAGTCTCGTGAATCAAACTCTTGAAAGTGCCCTCCTTGATCCACTTCTGCACCTTCTCCTGGTGCTCCTTAGTGTACTTGTCACCCATACCCTTATCACCGACAATGAAACCACGCATATCCAGACGCTTGGTCAACACATTGGTGATGTTCTTAATCGGGTAACCACCGCCATTGTACTGCGAGATCATACCGCACACGACGATACGGCCGAAATCGTTCATCGCATTCAGCGCAGCCTCAAGGTGCTCACCACCAACATTCTCGTAGTAGATATCCAGACCCTCAGGGGCCAGACGGGCCAGCGCATCAGCCGGCTTCTCAGTCTTGTAGTTGAAACCACCGTCGAAGCCAAGCTCCTTGATGATGAAGTCGAGCTTCTCGTCCGATCCGACGGATCCAATGACCTTCAGACCCTCGTGCTTAGCGAGCTGGCCGACCAGCTGGCCGACAGCACCACTGGCAGCGGAGACGAAGATGGTCTCGCCCTTCTTGGGCTTGCCGATCTCGTAGAGGGAGGAGTAGGCAGTCAGACCGGGCATGCCGAGGGCGCCGATGAAGACGCGGAGGTCCTCGATGCCGAGGGGGTTCTCGAGGGCGCGGACGCGGACGAGCTGGTCAGCGGCGACGGAGATGTACTGCTGGATAGGGAGGAAGCCGATGATCAGGTCGCCCTCCTTGTAGGCGGGGGTGTTGGAGCGGAGGACCTTGCCGATGATGCTGCTGTCGATGGGAGCGTTGAGGGTGAAGGCGGGGGAGTAGGACTTGATGTGGGCGGGGCGCATGCGGCCGCGCATGTAGGGATCGAAGCTGGCATAGAGGGATTGCACGAAGATGCCGCCCTCCGGGGCCGGGGCGGAAGCGTCGTACGAGGCCTGCTCGAGGACGACGTCCTGGCCGGGGACGAAGTAGCCGGTGGGGATTTGCTTGAAGACGAGGGTTTGGTTGGACATGGTGATTATGGTGTGTAGATTTCACTTGGGAGTGTTTGATGAGAGATATGCTATGAATGGAATAAGGGTCTGACGTAGGGTTTATATTTCCTGCGGATCATGGCGGGTGGAATGTCGATTACAAAGCACCATAATGATTCTACTGTATTGCCCCCTAAGCAAGAAGAAGCTTCTCGAGACGAGGAATGTTTTTTTGAGTTACCTAGGCTCTTGCCAGAAACAGGCTGGTGTGGGTGGGTTTTCGACCGGGACAACGGGCAGATTGGTGCAGAAGCTCCGTTGAACCACGGCTCTGGTGGACCGTGCCGGTGATGAGGCAATCGGGGGATATGCTTGTTCGGGGCATCAACCGGGCAGGATGTGAACGACGAATACTGCTCGGCAAGTTAGGTTTTTTTTTTTTTTTTTCCTCTCTAAGAGTGAGGGAGAGATTGTTTCACACAAACACTATAGAAATACAGTTCTTACTGTGTAAAGGCACCCCTCCGATAGGCTACACTCGACGGAAACGCATCTCCGTGAAGGGTTAGTTATGTCATACTGGCGGAGCGAACTTAGAATCAGGAATGGAAGCCGGAAAGTTTCCACTCGGCGGGGTTTACGGTGTCGAGTTATGCTACGGGCCTCGGGATAAGGGGACAAGTGGGGGATTCAATGCGGACGGTGAAACTGATTAGTATTTGGCGACCGATGCTTATCAAGCAGAAATAGAAGATGTTGAGACGGAAGAAAATCATCAAGATACCTCGGTAGTGGAGGATGTTGAGGTTGATTTGATGTTATCTCCATTATCCCCGGCATTAGTCAGCTTAAGCTGTCAATTTTTTGTCGGATTAGAGGCATCGACAGAATTAACATCTATTTACTGCATCTCAACCACACAATTCTTGAACTTTCGACTGGGGACACCCTTTTCAAACAGCACATCCAACTCCTCAAACGTCTTGCCTTGCGTCTCCGGCATCCACCAGAAGCAATAACCTGCACACAGCGCGCCTAACCCCGCAAATAAAAATCCCATTTTGCCCCGCCAGTTCCCCTCGTCTTCGTTCATCGCATACGGTATCACTACTGCGAACACTACCGACCACACGAAGCAGCTGACTGTGGCCAGCGCGATGGTCAATCCCCGCAGTCGCGCTGATGATACTTCCGCCAATAGCACATAGCAGAACGGGCCGAGACTGAGATCATACACGAACGTGCAGGCCAGCATGAGCCCACATTGTCCCCATACCGTGGCATTGTCTCGTGGGACGACGTCGAGCACACCGATCAGGCACTGTACCACCGCCAAAGCGGAGCATCCGAAGATATACATCGTTCGGCGGCCTACATAGGGCAGTAATAGCCACGATAGACATGTTCCGACAAGTCCCAGCGCCGTCAGTCCGATGTTCATCGAAAATGCATTTGACGAGTCCAAGCCCGCCAGCTCCATAAAATGCACGGCGTAGTTGATGAAGAAGACATTTCCCGTGAAGGCTTGCATGTTGTAAGCCATCACGCAGATCAGCAGGCGGCGGAGGTTTGGCCCACGCAGACATTCCCGGTATGTCGGTCGGTCGGCCTGGAAACTGGCTTCTAGACGCAGTGTCTCTTCGATATGGGATAGTTGCCGCGACACATCTACACCTGGAGTTGCTAGACGCCGCAGTGATACTAGTGCCGCTTCGTTGCGCCCATGCCGACACAACCAGTATGGTGGATCAGGGCAGAAGAAAATCAGCGCCAGCATGATGCATGGTAGCGCCCACTGCGTCGCGATGGGGATTTTGTACGACATGGTGGTGTTCAGCGATTCAGTGCCTTTTAGGATGCCCGATGCGATGAGCGACCCGATCGAAAAGGCAAGGTTGGTCATTGTAGCCGCGAACCCGCGGAGTGCCAGCGGGGTAACCTCTCCCACGTACGCGGAGGCACAAATGGGGTAAAATGCAATGATGCACCCATTTATGAGCTCGCCCGCAAACAACTGGGCTGGCGTATGACTGAAAAACTGCACGAAGATGAAGGCGATGGACAGACACGAGCACACAGCTATCATCACTCGTGGACCGAAGCGATCGTAGGCAAAGCCCGAGCAGAGGGCGCCCACGATGGCTCCTAGTAAATTGGCGTATTGGAAGGCGGAGATCCACTGAGCAGCTAAGACGTATTCCCCATGGTAGTTGTAGCCGTATGTCTTTTTGAAGACATCGAGACCGACTAGGCCTTTGACAATACCGCCATCCTATACCAGTTAGGGCTACATCTCACCTCACATGGAGGATAACCTACAATGCCTTTCAAAATGGTCGCCTATGGCAAGTTAGCAGCTGCTCTTCAACCGAACAAATATAGTAATTTCCTACCAGGTTCATGAACGACGCCCAAGCCACAGCCGGCCAGTGCCGTCGCATGGCTTCCCAGAACCCCAGCGCATGTTCCTTTCGAGTAAACTCCTGCGCAAACTCGGCTTCATCGCTCACACCATCCGGAAGAACCTGAACGACTGTCTGTCGCTTTTCATCCTGAATATTACCCATGGCGGGGTGACTGGTTCAATTCTTCTCACACACTGGATGTTCATCTGCTTTTTATGTGTGACGCGCCTGCTGTCTTGGCCTTCTTGGCTCGGGTGATTGCGCCAATCGCTTCGGACAGCATCTTGTCGGTACCATTTATTTTCTTGTATGGCTCGTCGATGCCATGTGCAGCTAAGCATATCTATATCTCATCTATCTATGATTTGCTCAATCTGTATCCACATCTCAAATGCCGTGCTAGATGCACTGTACTTGATTGGTAGGAGGGAAGGGAAACCCTCCTGTGCTGTCGTTCGAGGACCTTGGGGTTTCTGCCGAGACATTTAGTGGTAGTTGGATGCTGGGCAATTGAGCAAGTTCTTACATATGCTATCAGATATACTTAGTCAGGTATATACAAGCGAAATGATAATGACATATATCCTCTAGGTCTGCTGGACTTTATGATAGAGATTCTTCTAAATCTTTTATTTTGGATATTTGCTACACTAAACCTCATATTTTCCCGGTTCCTCTGGAAATCATACATTCCAACTCTACTAATTTGTTAAAATGATATCGGACACTTGGATTTATAATATCATCCCTGCCGTCAAATATATATAGTGTCAGTATTAAGGTTTTCGAGACATGGTAACTACTGGAAGAGACGTAATCTGAGTTTCTCTTGATAGGGTTTACATCGTATTCTTTAGGTGTACTTCAAGAGCATTAATATGATACCGAGAGAGATCTTTCCTAATCACTAGTAGATTGGTCCTCATATCGAGATGATTCAAGTTGGTGTTCGAACCAATTGACCACTGTGGAACACGCCAACCTGCACAGTATCCGAGCAAAGTCCCATGACCAAGCCTAGCTGCGAGCTATCAGTCAAGCTAAGGTTTCAATAACCGCTTCCAACCTGATCATAAGTAGATCACCGGTGTATCGTGTCGCACTGACCATCTTGTTGAAGGCACCGACGCCGGGATGCCATCGGCTGGTGTGTTTCTCCGTTGCTCCGTGTCATTAGTCAGCACATGGAAGTGCCCTTGAAGACAGTTTCACCAGGTAAAGAGAAACAAAGAATAAGCAATGCTACTGTGACGTAGTGTGTTTGATAATTATCAGATAGTTCCATCACCACTCGGTTGGCGCGGAGTCTGCC